CAGTGGTAGAGCTTTTGTCAAAAAGTCAAATGTAAGTAGGAGTTGGTATTTCTGCTGCTACATGGCATGCTTATGTGAAACTCTCGGAGACTCGGTATAATGCACAAAAAGATCATCCGATGATATTACTGTGATTGTATCGATTAATTTTTTAGCGCGGGTTACAAGTTCTGTAAAAGAAAGGAAAAAATACAATAAAATGAAGGTGAATGAAATTCAATGGGTTCCCAGATTCGAGATTAGATACGAAATAAGGACGACTAGATAGATTGATTTATTTATTCGAATCGAGTAGATTACATATCTATTGAATATATCGAGAAGAGAGTATGTTATTCAGCACTTATGGCTGAGTAATGTCTGAATAAAAACATACTCTCCTCTCGATATTTTCAATAGATATAATTTTTGTAATGTTCTAATTTTTTTTATTTTATATAGATAAATTAATTTCTACTTACTTTCGTAGCGTGTTTGAGAAAGTCCTGGAAAAGCTTCATTCGCTTCAACCCATTGTGCCTTTTGCTTCGTCACCAAACTATGATTAATAAGATATTTTATGATTGTTTTATCACTAGCGTCTTTAGCTTTTTAGGGTACTTCAATCAAATGTCATTAACAAACTGAATTTAAAAAATGAGACACGAGAATCATTTAATGCATCATTTTAAAAAAATTCTTTCAGCAATGATAGCCCTTGATTGCTTTTTTCGCTCAATAGATGGCGTTGAATGTCAAGCAATAAATGATTCTCGTGTCTCATTTTTTTTGTTGTATTATTTAATTAAAAAAAATTGTCGACAGTATTATAACTATTAAAATAATAATTTATCAAGATATTAAAAATGATATGAAACGAAGGAAAAATTTGTTGCTGTTAAGTTTTACGATTTTAATTGACCACACTTAAATTGAATCCCATATCACAATGTCATATACAACGAATAGCTGTTTGTGACATAACCTCACAAAAACAAAAAAAAAACTTGATAATGCGATACAACGTCCGCTCACAGAAAAAAATCCGGATATTTTGAACCCAGAAATCGGTTTAAATCACAGCGGAATGATTTCTGGGTTTAAATTAACCGAAAAACCGAAAAACCGAAAAATCGGATAAGACTTAAATTTGGTAATCCAACACCGTGCACAGTCTTGATGAAAGAAATGTATTTCTCAGAATTATGCGGTATTATTGTTATTTCACCTGGAAAATTTCTGGTAGTTGCAAGTTTTTTAATTAATAAATGCGAATCATAACCAGACAAATTGTGCATTACAACCGGAATGGTTCGACTGATTTGATATTGCAAATTGCACGATTGATGTGCAGCTCCTCTATATTTTTCCGTTATATGGCAGTGATCCCTCACTCGAATATTAGTTTCAGTTGTTTCATTTGCGAACTCTTTTTTGCATATATGACAAGCAATCGATTGAGAAAATAAACTTTCTTCTTCTCCTGTCAAAGCAATCATCGGTTTTTTATCTTCCAAAAAGTCATAAACCTCCTCTGCGATTTTCGTTAAATCAAAATTCACTAACTCAAATTCACGTATACGTCGATTAAATGCAGGATTAGTTTCTTGTAATTCCACATGCGGAATTTCACCATCAACATTCTCATGCTCAAAATTCGACATTATTGTTGTTAGTCTTTTTTTTGCATATTGACTGATTTGCTAGCTGTAATGCATCATCATTTTATTCAATAACTCTCAACAAATCTAATACACACAAATAAATAATAATAAAACAACATGCAAACGAACAATAGGGTAAGCGAATAAATAAGTGAGTGAGGGTGAGAGAGCGAGCGAATGAAATGTATTTATTCACATATATTTAATTTATTCGAAAAGGTTTGTAATTATTTCATTGATTTCTTTCTTACATGACATCTTAAACATGGTAAATTTACCTGTCAGTTAAATATTGAAATTGCAAAGAATATCCTCATACAAGCAATTTAGATCTAAAAAAACGTGATTGAAATTAACATTGCATTCATATGTTTGTTAATAATTTATGCAAAAGGGATCATAGATGCATAATTGGTTCTCCTTTTTCCAGATTCATGTAATTATTTCTCCATGATATAGTACATATTTATTTTTAATCGCTTTGAGATAAAAATATACTGCATATGAATTTAAATATGAAGTATTGATCTGAGAGAGATAGAGAGAGAGAGATAATTTTTCGAAAAGATAAGTAATCATTCATTGAAATCTTTCTTCTTCACATGGTATATCTATTAAATATTGAAATTGCAGAGAATATCAGAGAAAAATCAAGATTGAAATTAGCATTGCATAGATAAACATAGAGAGAGAGAGAAAACGAGAGAGAGAGAGAATTATTCGAAAAGACGCTTATATGAATCGTTGCGGAGAAAAAGTAGCTCTTATTTTTCTCCAAATAATACTGCAACATAAAGTTTTTTATGAATAGTTTATTTGTGGTGTGAAAAAAACTTCATGTTGCAGTATTATTTGGAAAAAAATAAGACGAATTAACATACGAATATATGTAAGTGAATTGTTGTCCGTTTATAGAGTGACGATGGCAGCAACAGCATCAACATATATGTTCGTTGTCCATAAGAAAATACACGAGAGAGAGAGAGAGGAGAGAGAGAGAGAGGAGAGAGGAGAGAGACCAAAAATATTGGTTTCAAAACTGATATTCTGAACCATAGCTGGGCAGACTGAAAAATTTAGGGGGGGGGGGGATTGGGGGGGCTTAATTTTCTCAAACCCCTAGCAAAATAGAAAAATTCTATCCAAAATCATGAATTTTGTAAAGGGGTAACGCAAAAATTTGATGATTTTGTAAAGGGGTAACGCTAAAATTTGATGCCTCAGGAGGGAGTAATCCCCCCCTCCCCCCTTTCTGCCCAGCTATGTTCTGAACGCTATTGTATATTCATTTGTTATCACCGTTTGTGTGGAGTTCCACGATCATTCGTATTTATTCACATATTATTTTATTGAGTGAGAGTGAGAGTGTATGAGTGAGACTGTGTGAGTGTGTGAGTGATTGTTGTGTTTACGATACGAAAAGCTGTTTTGAACAAAGTGATATCGCGGATCTGTCCAAACCGGTTTGGACAGATCCGCCATATCTACACAACTATGCGATTTGAAAAAGGAATTTTATTCGATGTAAAATAAAATTGTGTGTCGCCTAGAAAGTGAATGACGAATATAGCCTCATATTCTCACAAAAATATTCATAAAAGTCTTCGAGTAATTTTCATTCTCAGCGACACATTTAGTCGCAGCTATCTCTGAGATTTTTTTTTGTAAATCAATATTTAAATCATATATTCATTTGGACTCTGGTATGGAAAATTTCACTCTGATATTGCGTGCCCATAACAGTCGTATTTTCAATGAGTAGTGCACTGCCATATAAAATATTTCAGCTCTATTCGTGTTGAATATTGGTGCGATATAAATAGTAATAGGGTGTCAAATATTTTGGATAAAAATGACTTTATGAAGCCAAAGAATAAGAAACAAATCAAAAGCATGCCTTTTATTTCATTTCATCTTTCTTACTGAATGTTCTAAGACATGGCATTACTGTTTTACAAAATACATCGGATATGTTCATTGTACACATCAGTATCGCAAAATGTCTCATAAAAAAGTGATAGTGATATGGAATATTAAATGATATTGTTAATCAATACTTTCAATCATTTTAATTTAATGTTCTAAACGTTTGAATTCATGCAATAGCAACAACAAATGGCTTCTTAAAAAGTCTTGAACAGTGATAAGAAATTTGTCTGATTTGTTTCCTATCGCGCGCGCAAAGAATTAAAAAAATATACTTATTGTGCAATTGTGCATGCGGATATGAATTTAAATCACAAATAAAGTGATAAATAAGCCAAGTGTGCAGTTTGATTAGAGAAATAATTCAACTCTCGAATAACATCGAACACACCAATGCCAATATCAGAGGTCAAGTGACCTAGCTCTGAATTTTGATTAATAAAGAATCAATAAACAAGAAAGAATGCAACGGTTACAAAACGAAACAAAAAACCCCTCACAGATATAGTATAGAAATAAGTAATACTAAAGTAATACGTTCTCATTGCCTTGCCACTTCTTAGAAAAAAAAAAACTAAAACCAATTTTAATGTTCCATCTATTCACGCATCTTGTCATGTTTTTATTCGTTGATTATTTTCTCAATGCAAACAGATCTTCTCAGCGGATGTCAATAAAAGATCGAGTTGGATGAGCAAAGTTTCAATAAAATCTTTAGTTAAGCTATTAGAGGCGAACCCATTCAATAAATATGTGCAAGCAATCAATAACGAAAGTTAATTTTAAAAATAAATAAAAAAATATAACATCAGTAGTGTATTTTTACTTTAAAAATCGCAAAATGGAAATGACCGCAGAATGTCGATAACATAATCTCACTTGTTTACAGCTACTCAAAAGAATATTTCAACATCAATCAGAAGTATTTTATATTTCATTGCGAACGACCGCATTTTCATTGTTTAATAATTCAGAGGAGTTTCTGGATAACTATAGCCAATTTGCTATCCAGTGTTCACATTATCAACAGTTTAAGCGTCTGTAATTAGGAAATTTAATAAAAAAATGAGTATACATTTTTTATTCATTTTATTATTTGTGTGTCTCGAAGTACGTGCAAATTTGGATTTGAACACACAGCTACTCGATGCCGCCGAAAATGGTAAGTTTAAACTTTCATAAAAATATCTATAATTAGCTAAATATGGCATGTTGAGTTCAAGTGATTCCGATAAAAAACAAACTTTTTCATTTTCGGCCAATCTCACACTTTTTCAAAGATATTGACTACCCAACTTTGATTTTATATCATTTTCATATTTTCTTACGAACGAACGAACAAAAGTTGAATAAATTGCTACAAACGATCAAACCGTTTCCGTTCGTTCATTGATAGCTCTTATTTTTACCAAAAGCTCCAACAACCAAATGATTCCGACTTACAATTTTCGAATATTTCGTTGTTCAGTCTCTTTTGGTAAATAAATATTCGTTAGATTTAAGAAGAAATAAACATCCAGAGCAAAAATTTGATCCGATGCCTATCATAAAAACTTTTTACTAAAAATTCGAGTTTCGATTGTTTATGAAATACTAGGGTGCATCGATTTCTTACTTTTGAAAATTCTAGTTCAACTTCTATAGACCTGGTCGCGAGTAACGACATTTTTTCTGGCACATTATATGACAACCTACCTATTTTCACCGCGGTCGACTTAACGTTCGCAAATTTGCGATTTTTTTTCACATCCTCTTTTTTATTTTCTGCTTTAATTGCCGTTGTTAAATTTGAAAATTTAGTTGAAATTACCTAATTCCGTCAATTTTTTTGTTTTTGGTCAGGTTACGGTGTAAAAAGTTCATGATTTTAGTAAATTGGGATCTTTTAATTTATGTAAACCATGATATTTATATTCATAAAATCTTCAAACCACCCAAAATTACTCATTTTCAACCAATTTCCAGTTATTCTAAACATAGACATGACTAAAAATGTAGAAAATTTGACAAAAATGTATTTCCTCGTACCAAAAAACCCCCTACTACACATTTTCATGGACAGAAATTTGAAAACAAAAATGTGTTCATAAGACATCACAGCATTTCCAACTCAGAACTTGAAATTTTTAAGTCGCAATTGGCACCATTCAAAAGCCCAATTTAAGACCGTTCCAATATGCATATGTCCTGGGTATGTCAAGTCACTATCTTGAAAACAAGAATTTTCTGGTATAAAAGCTATGCGGCGTTTTATAGCTTAAATTTGGACCAAAAATCGGTGAAATTGTCAATGGTCCAAGTTAAGGTTGTTTTCGAGATAATAGCCGTTATGTCTCCGGCCGAACAGTTTTTTGGTGTTTGGCCGATTTGGACCGCAATTGACATCATTGGATAACTCGCTTCAACACCTTCCACTGTGATAATTCAGCCAGTTTTTGGCGGTGATTAAATAAAATAACAAAAACAGAAGTTTAATCACATCACTTTTCGTGCTTTCTAGGTAGCATAGATGCGGTCCAAACTCTAATCAACCATGGAGCAAATGTCAATTTCGAAAACGAAGATAAAAATACTCCACTTCACAAGGCTGCTTTGTATGGTAACTGTTCACTTTTCCAAATTAGGAATAAATATTGCTTGATGTATCATCAAGCTTTAAAATCGTTATAACTCAACAATATTTTTCTTTTCGGAAAATTATTTTTCTTTGAAATGATGTTATTCCTAAGAATTTGTATGGGAATCTGAAAAAAACTTGATTTGTATGTTGTAACTCAAGTACAAATTCTACGATATTGATTAAAATTGATCAGTTTATAGACGCCATTTCAAAAAAACATAGCCAGAATAGTCGATCAAAAGCTGGCTCGAATTGAAATCATACATATAATTTTGATAAAATTGGTTAAATTTTCTGCGTACCCCTGGGGGTTTGAAATATTTTTTTGAATTCCACTGATTTATACATTGAGACATCAAGCGTTACTTCCAAGTACATTGGCAGTGTATTTTCAATAAAATTTGTTATATTGATGTCCACCAACCGTGGATGTTAAATAAAGTTTATTCTTATTACTTTTCGTGCATTCTAGGTCATACAGACGTAGTTAAATATCTAATAGAAAAAGGAGCGAATGTGAATGTCAAAACTAAATATCAGGAATATACACCACTTTACGGGGCTGCTCAGAATGGTTGAACTTTTCTAAATTTAGAATAAATAGTTTCAATGGTGTTTATTCTAATTATCTTTTGTGCTTTCTAGGTCATATAGATGTAGTCAAATGTCTAGTAGAAAACGGAGCGGATGTGAATATTGGAAACAAATGGAAAACTACACCACTTCACCAGGCTATTTTCTATGGTAATACACTTGTAGTTCACTTTTCCAAGCTAAGAATAACAAAAGAGTTTATTCTTTTTACTTTTTGTGTATTCTAGGTTATACAGATATAGTCAAATATCTAATTGATAATGGAGTGAATGTGGATGCTGAAGACGACTACAAAGAAACATCACTTAATAAAGCTGCCCAATATGGTAATTGTGTTCTCTTTTTTAAATTTAGATAAATATTTTTAAAAAAGTTTATAATTTTTACTTTTCGTACATTTTAGGTCAAACAGATGTAGTCAAATATCTAGTTATGAAAGGAGCGGATGTAAATATTGGAGATAATCACAGAGATACGCCACTTCACAAGGCTGCTTCTAGAGGTATGTAATTGTTCACTTTTTCAAATTAGGCATAAATAATTTCAATAAACTTAAATTTGATCACATTTTGCGTGATCCGTTTACATATTTCCCAATTTCTTATTTTTCAAAAATGTTTGCATCAGTCAATGACCAAATAATAACAAATGTCGCTGTAATTATTCTCCTTTGAATGTCTTTTCAGGCTACGTTGAAATAATTAAATTGTTAATAGAAAAGGGTGCAAATCCATTCCTTACAAATTATGAATATCGATCTCCACGTGATGTGGCTGTCAGAGGACGTAATTTGACCACACACTCTTAAATCGAAAGCATCCAAATAAAGTTTAAAATCACAAACCATTTCAGGTCACAGGGAAGCAGCCAAACTTCTAGAGAAAGCAGAGAGTAACTTTGGTAATTATCACAATTTTAAATAAATTCGAAATTAAAGGCATTTTTTAAAATAACTTGATTATACAATAAGTGCACATTTAAGACGATTTAACCCAAACAAACCAAAGGAATTTCACATTTTATGCTCTGCTGCGCTGTTCGAATTTGCTATGTAGATGCTTACAAATCATATTGTACAATTGCAAGAATATGGTTTAATAAGTACATTGAGCAATACATTGATTTCTATTGCATCGATAGCATTGGGAGCAACGTCTACAATTAGATTCATGCAGTCCAGATCGGATCGACATAAAAAATAATCTGTCATTATTATTCTATCAAAATCTGTGGACATCTGTCTATGTATTTCTAATGTATGTTTGTGCTTAATGATTTTTTTCTCACTGATCTCAAACAACAACTGTGCTGTCCAAACTGAAACACCAGAGCGACCAACGTCAACTTTAAACATACAGCTTCTCAATGCAGCTGAAAATGGTAATTTAAAATTCTCATAAAAATATCTATAATTATCTAAATAAGGCATGCGGAATTTCAAGATATTCCGATAAGAAACAATATTTTCATTTTCGGCAAATCACACATTCTTTCAAACCAACACACGAAAAACACTGGTAGAATTGTTTAAAAGTGTTAGCAAATTGCAAATTTAGGAACAGTTGTCAAATGACATGCACTAAAATAAAATGAAATTATCATGGTGAAAATAAAAAATATACTATTGTGTCCAAAAAATGGAATCGTGTAAATAACTATATTTCGTTTTAGATTGATATCTGTGCAAAATTTCATGTCAGGGTGTCAATTCCATTGTACTTTTAGCACAGTGTGCCAAAATACAAAAATATGACAAAATGAATGAGAATTTCGTCAGTTTTTGGCAAATTTAACTCTGAAATTTGATTTTTTGGTATTCCTTTCTGAATGATAATATTGACAGTAATTATACCAACAGTTCTCTTAGTGTCAATGTCCGGAAATTTTTCTGATAAATTACCACGTGGTGCACGGCCATTGGTCAGAATATTCGTAAAATTCAATTAGGTCCCATAAGGATATAATGTTCCTTTTTTTTAACACAGCAGCTGAAAATGGTCGTTCTACATATTTCGAATTTAAAGACATAGAAGTTTAATCACATCACTTTTCGTGCTTTCTAGGTACCATAGATGCGGTAAAGACTCTAATCAGCCATGGAGCCAATGTCAATTTCGAAAATGAAAAGATAGAAACGCCACTTCACAAGGCTGCTTCTGGAGGTAAGTGTTCACTTTTCCACATTAAGAATAAATATTTTCAATAGAATTTATTATATTGATGTTCACCACCCGTGAATGTTATTGTTGGTTTTTACATTCTAAAAATCAAGTAAAAAGATACTTTTCTTTCGTGAATTCTAGGTCAAATAGATATAGTCAAATATCTAATAGAAAAAGGAGCGAATGTGAATGTCAAAACTGGATTTTGGGAAATCACACCACTTGAAATAGCTACTAATAAGGGTAATTGTTCACTTTCTCAAATTTAGAATAAATAGTTTCAACGATGTTTATTCTAATTACTTTTCGAGCTTTGTAGGTCATTCAGACGTAGCCAAATATCTGATAGAAAAAGGAGCGGATGTGAATTTTAAGACTAATATTTTAAAATACACACCACTTTACAGGGCTGCTTCTTGGGGTAAATGTTCACTTTTCCGAATTGAGAATAAATAGTTCCAATGATGTTTATTATAATTACTTTTCGAATTTTCTAGGTCATACAGATGTAGTTAAATATTTAATTGAGAAAGGAGCGGATGTGAATGCTGAAACAGATTGGAAAGCCACACCGCTTCAGGCCGCTGCTCGACATGGTAATTGTCCACTTTTTCAAATTGAGAATAAATAGTTTCAAAAAGTTTATCTTTTTTACTTTTCGTGCATTCTAGGTCATACAGATGTAGTTAAATATCTAGTTGAGAATGGAGCGAATTTGAATGCTCAAGATAAACCTTTGAAATACACCCCACTTCACGAAGCAGCATTACTTGGTAATTATATACTTTCATTTCAATAAAATTTGCGTTGGTACTACAATTCAATAAAATCTTTAAGATTTGCTAGGGGGTAGACATGATTCATCTGATTCACTGTGATTCAAAAGATTCACATTGTTTAGATGACATTTGAAATGTCATTTATGTGTCATACAAGAAATATTTATTGAACAATTAAAATTATTTGTCTTCGAAAAAATGATTTCTTGACGTTTTTTTTTAAATGTATTAACTCATTATTTTTTTTTATCTATTTCGTGTTTTTCTAGTAAATTCCAAATAAAATCAACGATAATATTTAGAATTTAATGAACGATCATGTTAGTAAAACCAAAAGTGATGCTTATTTGACATTTGAATGATTCATTTGATTCACTGTGATTCACATGACTCAAAGTTTTATAATTCGTGTCTACCCCCTAGAAGATTTGTTACACATTTCTATGTTCTGATGAGAAGACTCACTTTCATTCTTGAACATTCATCTCTTTCTTCATTTATAGCAATTTTTTAGCAGTTTAAACAATGGTTTCGATTGTTCTCCAATGTTGTAAATAGCATTTTTTGAGTAAACTATACAATTTTTTTGAATTTCGATTATTTTTTTAAGGAATTATAAACCAAAATAATCATAGAAAAGTAGTTCTCATGCCGAAAAAAATATTGCATTAAAGAGAGTTAAAAATGATCAGTGATCACATTTCGCGTGTTTTCCACTGTCTAAGACTCTTAATTTTCCAAAAACATTTGAACCAGTCAATGAACAAATAATAAAATAAAATTATTTTTCTTTGAATTTCTTTTCAGGCCACGTTGAAATAATTAAATTCTTAACAGAAAAGGGCGCAAATCCATTCATTAGAGCTGATGACAATCAAACTCCACGTGACATGTCTATCTTATATGGTAATTTGACCACACACTTCTAAATCGAAAGCATCTCAATAGATTTTATAATCACAAACCATTTCAGGTCACAGGGAAGCAGCTAAACTTCTAGAGGAAGCAGAGAGTAACTTTGGTAATTATCACAATTTCAAATAAATTCGAAATTAAAGGCATCTTTAAACTCACACAAAACAAGTGTTAAACGATTATTCAAAGCAATTATTCGGACAAACATTTGAATGTCTGAAAAATATACAGTTTTCGAATGATCGAAACTGCGGTGTTGATATTGTTCTTGAACGCGATTATTTCCAGCATATATCATAAGTTTTAGCAGACATTTCGAGCACTTTTTACGGTGCAATAACAAGCAGAGAAAGAAATGTTTTGCGCTGATTTCGTAGCAGTTTTGAAACCAGCCGGTGTATATTTGTATGAGATTGGAGACTTTTTTTTGCGAATCTCGCTAATGAGCGCCATCTGATTTTAGTGTGAATTAGATGCAAAAACTGAATTTAATTCTGTAGCATTGAAATGAAAAAGTGAAAAAACAACAACAATAGCACGGCCACACAGAGCTGTACATCTATGCGTGCTGATGCATACATACACATATACGCTTTGTTCATTCTTTCATTCCATTGCTATACGTATCTCACTGGTCAACAGATCTATGTAGCCATGTTACTGTTGTTGTTTTTTTTCTCTTTTTCGATTCAATTCATTGTAACTAAATTTAGTTCAACTATGGAATACAAGATGGCACAGATGAGGGGAATTCGCATTTTGTCTCTTCATAGGCTTAGCCGGTTGTTTGATACAAAAGCTTTAACCAAACACAAAAAAGAATAAAATGTCTTACATCCGTAAGATGAACTTTTCCGCATTGTGATCCACAACATGCATTTATTACGTATCTTTTACCGTCAATATGAATTCATGAGAAAACTGAATCTGATATAAGTTTTGCGATACAAATAATTTTTGAACGACTTTTCAATGCCTGTATGATTTCGTAATCATGTGAAAATTTGTAGATGTTTGTTTTTCACAAAAAGCTAACATTCTGAAAGTTTGAAGAAATTTCAATACAATTGAGTATATACAAAATTTTCGATTTTGAGCAAAAAATCCAAAATTTTGTTCGAGAGGTACCCCTAATACATATTTTTGAGTGTTTAGGAATACATTAAATATCACTTTTGGAAGAAAAATTGAATTTTTCCTATGGATGACCATGGGCATCACACCAAACATGAGACGTCACTCTATCAACCGAAGTCGCTCAAAATCTAATGGTTTCTATTCCTCGGCACCCCCAATCATCCTGTGAAGTCAGATTTTGAATTCAAAAAAAAAAAAGTATTCTTGTTTGTAAGTTATCGTGTTAACAAATTTTTGCGTACAGGGTACCACGCACATACATTCGGACATCGAAAAAACGCCAGATTCATGTTCCCCGGCTCCCAAAACACCCAGAAAACATGTTTTTTGGGGTGTTAATTTTTCGACCGATTCCAATACTTTACCTTACACACAAGGTGTGTGCGGAAAAGTAATAAAAATAGTAGACACCAAAAAGTTTCACATGTATTTGCACTAATATTTGTAATCTACTACAAAGTGTCGCATCTATAAACTGTCAAATTTACAAATACCAATGTATGACACTTTTTACATGGGACACTTATTAATGCAAATACATGTGACACTTTGTGGTAGATTTTACTTGTTTTGTGGTAAACTATCAGCCTACCACATAACCTTAAAAAATCTACTAATGGTTCCAACTCACAATTTGTGAAACCAAATGCATATTTTTCGAATATTATTGACTACTCGGGCTTAAAATATGATGGTTATTAAACAATGTTCATTGTTCAATCTCTTTTCGTAAATGGTTCGTTTGGTAAAAGACCGATGAAAACAGTATCAGTCGATTTTATGATATTACAATATTCTTCATTCGAAGAAAATCCAAAACGCATTCAATTTTAAATGTACATAGTTGTTCATCTTAAAATCGATTCAAAAATATGAAATTTCAGTCCAAACTGAAAGACCAGAGCCACCACCAACAACAACAACAACACCATCATCATCAATTTCTGTTGTGATCTCTCCGCCTGAGTTTCAAATCGGAGACAATGTGAGACTACCATGCAACGCATACGACAACGCTACGCATGTAAGAATATTCTATTGAAGATGATATATTAGGTGCAATCATGGAATATTATTTTATATTTTCTTCTATTAGACTCCAACCACAGTCATCTGGCATAAGGCGAATGGATCTCTCCCGGATCGATCATATCAAAATACAGGTGTTCTTACAATCACAAATGCTCAACTCGCTGATGGCGGTGAATATATTTGTCAAGCCGAATTTAATGGACATTACGCACAGCGTTCCACAATTTCTATCAAAGGTAAAAATACAATCCTGGGTTTTTCTCACACGATCATTTCCAATCCGATTAATTATTAATTTCAATCAATTATAGTCAATCGTTCCAATCACACCGATAACCAGTAAGTATCAGCGACTTGGTCAACAAGTCAACATTTTAATTAACTTAGACGCCTCACTTTATGCATTCCACTACAAACTTTTTGAAACCCATGGGAGCGACGTGAAAAAACTTGACATCAGCGCCAGTCCCTCATAACTAAAAATGGTACAAATTCGCAATAGATGGCGCTTATAAATCGACTTATAAACACGCTTACATTTTATTAGAAGAAAAATGAAAAATATTGAAATATTTTTAAATTAGTTAATTTAAGGGTTTCAATTTAATTCAAGTTGAAAGATGTGATTCTAGTGCTTCTTTTGTTTTCAATGGTTTTTAATGAATTATAGAAAATATCAAATGTGTTATTTGTTGTTTCGATATGTTGAAAATGTGGTATTTTTCGGGAATAGATTTGTTTAGATGTATAATTTTATAAAATATTTTATGCACTCATTTTATTTTATCATATATGATATCTCAGTGTGCCTTTGTGCACATGTTTTATGTTGTCTGTCAAGCTATACTGCGCATGATGCACAACAGTGTCGATTGTAGTGTACACTATACGATATACATGATGTGCACTATAGTCAACACCGTTGCGTGTGTATCTTGTCGACAGTCAGTATAGCATAATGAAATATCATATATGATAAAATAAATTGAGTGCATAAAATATTTTATAAAATTATAAATATAACTAATTTCATCTTGAAAACTTCTGTGCATTTTGGAAATAAACCAATACAAAAAAATTTAACATTTCGAAACAACAAATATCACATTTGATATTTTCTATAGTACTAGAAGGCACTCCATTTAAATTTATTTAAATTAAAATCATTAAATTAAATATTTTGAAAATATTTCAATATTTTTCATTTTTTTTCTGATAAAATGTAAGTGTGTTTGTCGATTTATAAGCGCCATCTATTGAGAGTTTGTACCATTTTTAGTTAAGAGGGACTGGCTCTGATGTCAAGTTTTTAATCATACGTTTCACGTCGCTCCCCTGTTGAAACCATTCACCGCAGAGAACCTGGGAAAGTATTTCATGGCGCTGTTCGCAACGGTGAGTAGTAATGAAATCTGTGCAATTTACATAAATATTCTTCAAATTTACGGGAATCACCGACAGGAAATCTGGAAACAATGGAAGAGCTACTTAGAAACGGAACGGATGTCAATATCCCAGACCTCAATGGTCGAACACCTTTATTTACTGCGGCTCAAAATGGTAATTTCATACTTTTGGCACTTCCGTCGAAATACAAATAACAACCGAAATGCTTGAAAATCTTTTTTATTCAGGTCGACACAATATAGTTGAGTCGTTGATAAGGAATGGTGCTTATATCCACCTCAAAGATTACTATGGCGAATCTCCAATTAACACAGCAACTTCTGAAGGTGACAAAATTTGTTAAAAAATATATAAAAAGTTCGATTAAAATATATGAATCAATGATTGAATTAAGGTCACGAGCGTGTTGTTGAAATACTGATTGAAAAAGGCGTGGATGCAAATACGAAAGAGGACCATGGATATGCGCCAATACATATCGCCGCCCAGAAAGGTGATGTGGAAGTCATTAAACTCTTTAAAAAATATGCTTTTAATTTTGAAAATCAAATCATTTCCATAGATTATGAGCGAATTGCTGAATTTTTACTCAAAAATGGTGCAAATGTCAACAATCAAGATAACGATGGCAAAACGGCATTGTTTACGGCTTCGAGTTTCGGTAACTGATTTGGCTTTGTCACACTGTCAAAAGATATTTAAAAAATTAAAATGATTTTTTCTCTCAGGTCGTGATCGACTGGTTCAAATGTTATTGAATCATAGTGCAAATGCCAATCTGCAGGACAATCGTGGACAAACACCATTATACAGCGCCACTTTGGCAGGTCAGTTTCAATAAAATTTCTTTTTTCTTCGCAAACCAAATGTACATTTGATTTTTCCATTTAATTCGCAGGTTTTGAAGATATCGTTAAAGTATTAGTCCAATACGGAGCCGATCTAAACATGCCAGATGAAAATGGATGGTCACCATTACACGTGGCCACTCAAAATGGTATTTGGATTCAAAGGGCAATTAAGTTGTTGATTTTTAAATGCTAGTTTTTCTATTGCTTTTCAGGCTTTGAGAATATTGTGGAAATTCTAATGAGAAATGGAGCCGATGCCGATTTAAAAAATCAGAACAACGCCACAGCGATCGATTTCGCGGAGAGAAAAGGTATTGATTACCTGATTATCTTTGTCACATTTTTATTGATTAACCCACTTAATTTTGACACAGGAAAAGAGAATATTATTAAACTTCTCAAAAAAGTGCGTCCAATTCGGCCAGCAGAAAAGGGTAATCATTTGATCAAATATATTGTTTTTGGAATGCACTTGTTGTAAACTCAAAACAAACTTGATATTCTGAATTTAGTGTGCGCAAATTACAATGAGAATGCTACTACTTCACTAAAGAGTCGCACTTTGGATGGTGAGGAAGCTGATCCACAAGAATTTCCATGGATGGTAAGCCAACATTTAGCTTAGCTCAACATTTGATCTTGTAAAATTGTATCCACTTTCAATCGTTTCAAAGGCGGCTTTAGGTTATTTGACAAAAAATAATGAAGTGTCCTATGAATGCGACGGTACAATCATATCGGATCACTTCATACTAACGGCTGCTGATTGTGTGTCGAGATCTCAAAAACCAACTGTAGTTCGATTAGGAAATGTGAGTAAAACTGTCTTTTGGTTGCAGTTATTTTTTGTTTGCATGACGACTGGCCTGAGATGGACGAGCTTTTCTAGTTGAATGAAAATATCTACACGTTTTTTTTCTTTTGTAATTAGATCGCTCTGACCGATAACAACGACGGCAGTATTGAAGCAGTCACCAAATCAGTCGGGGTAAAAGAATCTAAATCATTTAATATTACCATGTGACATAGTATCATCCACATTGAATAAAGAATAATGATTTTTTTTAAAACAGGAGATTATAACACATCCAAACTATTCGGGACTCACTAAGAAAAACGACATTGCATTGATTCGAGTGTCAGAACAAATTTTGTTCACGGACCATATTACGCCCGCATGCCTGCAAACCGATTCAGATGACATGGACATTGATATGCCGCTGATTGTGATTGCTTGGACTAAAACATCAGTCGAACGTGAGTTGTAATGTCTGTCAAAATCGTTGATACGCAATATAAATTTGTTTATTCTTTAAATCACAGGTCACAACAAATCAAACATTCTGCTCAAAGCCCAATTGAAAACCATGCCACTATCCGGATGTAACCAAACGATGTTGATGTCGAATGAAGGATCCAATGAAACGGCTTTTCGAGATGGACTCAGCCAAGGACAGTACTGTGCATATGCGCCAGAAGGAAGAAATGAGAGTTGCCAAGTGAACCACGGAGGACCTCTTCAGTTATTCCCTTCAAACAACTCAACCAGAGCCACAGTTGTGGGTATAGTTTCTTTTGACACGAGTTGCGGCACTGAATTGCCAAGCGTTTACACCCGCATCGCATATTATTTGGATTGGATTGAAGCAACCGTTTGGCCACATCCATAGGAATGGAAGAAAAAATTGATAAATAGCTTAACATTGCATTATACATTCTTTTATTCACAAATAAATTTTTTTAAATTTAAATCCATATTTGAATGGCTTTTATTCACACATTCCTTATTATGCCTATACACTAGTAGAAGGAACTTTTTATTCTAGCCTCACAGTATGTCAAAAATTGTGTGACGAATTTCACCTCATATTCTCACAGAACTATCCAAAAAAGTCTTGGCAAAGACTCATTCTCGACGACACATTTAGTCGCCGCTACCCATGAGTATGTTTTGTTATTTCATCTTTCTTACTGAATATTCTCTGTAATACATCGAATATTTACATTGTACACAACAGTGTCGCAAAATGTCTCAAAAAAATGATAGTGATATGGATATTACACGATGTTGTTATTCAATATTTTCAATTATTCTATTTTAATGTTCTGACTTTGAATTGTTAACGTTCGAATTCATGTGTAGATGGATTGACTATTGTACTATAACATAATATACATTATGCGCGATCCGACTACTCAAATCTAACGGAGTCTGTGTGACGTTGCGAAAGTGACCCCACAGAAGAGCTATATTATGCATTTGGATTATAATAACTGTATGCTTATTAATATTTTCATTAAATCAGTCGTATTTTGGAACCATTATGTTTCACTTTGTCTAGACATGCAATAGCAACAACAAACGGCTTCTAGCTAAATCTTGAGCAGTGATAAGAAATTTGTTTGGTTCGTTTCGTATCGCACGTGCACCGTGCAATATTATGATACCTTGATTTTTACATGTGCGACCAGTGTGGCACACGGAATGAAGTAAGCAAATTTCTTATCACAACTCAAACTTTTACGAGAATGCAACTGTGGTTGTTTCGGTAGCAAATATGATAGTACGGTTTTAAATGTTAGAATCAGACGCATTCAATTAAAATGATCGAACGCATTTAAACATTGAACACGTGCATGTTAAATACTTATCGTCAATGCATGATTGTGAACCTATATAAATCATATAGAGGTGACTTTGAATTCAATAAAATCTATAACCAAAAACATCAAATGTCAAATAGAAAAAATATATACATATGTTTGTGCACGTGAATATGAATTTACATCACAAATAAATTGAAAAATAAGCCAAGTGTGCTGTTTGAATTGCAATAAAAAAAGTATGAATAATAATTTAGATTTTCATTTGCCTAACTTTCCATGAGAAATATCAGAAGTCGAGTGACCCAACTCTGAATTTGGTGCAATACAGAATCAACAAACAAGTAACAATGCAGCGGTCATGAAAAGAAACAAAAAAACTCTTCACAGATATTTTCACTTGATTTTAATAGTGGAATGCTTAAAGAGCGTTTGTATGTAGCGATAATATTCAAAGCTCAATATTTTTTTTCTCAATAAAAGAGACATTTGAAGATTTTCATTTTAAAAAAACTGGCATTGATATAGATAGAAGAGATGGAATGCGAGCGATTTGAAGAATCTTGTTATACTTAATTGTTACCTATTCCCCCATTGAATGTTACTCATCGAATAAGAATAAAAAAATCACGTTCGATGAAATTTGCAAATTTTCAATAAAATCTTTAGTTATTCTGGTTCAATTCATTCAACAAAGGACTTATTTGGATGTATAGTCGAATGTCCGCACATTTGAAAGTCAAAACTTGGGACTGGGTTTAAATAATTGTACCAAAAATATACTTAATTGTACCGCAATTTATTTTTAATTGTACCTTACTCGTTTGGATAATATTTGGAGCCCACATTTCGGGCTAACTCAATATTGTGATAGAATGACGAAAAAAAACTCAAAGATATTTTTTAAATTTTTATGGCTGATAATAATTGTACCTAAAATGTACCTTACTTCCTGAAAGTTTCAAGACGATCGGATAGAAAATATGTATAACTCCCATACAAAAGTTCCAATATCTGAAGTAAAATAATTTTTCAAAAAATTGTGAATTTTGTAAAAATGACTATACATCCACTTATTTGCTAGAGGCACGATTGTAATTGTGGACGATTTCAATCGTCTACCGATTGTTATAAAACGTTCACGATCTTAATCGGCAAACGGTTTTTCATAATCGGCGACCGGTTGGTTAATCGGGACGTATGTCTTTTTGCTTTACAAATCACAAAATGAAAATAACGGCATAATAATGATAACATAATCTCAATCTCACTTGTTTACAGTTAATCAAAAGAATGTTTCAACATTTTGCTAGACATTTATTAGAAATTTAATGTACACCGAAACATCTAGGGGCTAGTCATGCTTTTGAATATTGTAGATATGAAAAAAATTTCACAACTTTAACACAATTCAAAAGAAATGGAATTAAAATACCAGAAAATCATAGGTGATGACGAGGGTTCCTAGGGTTCGGATTACCCCCCTCTAAAATATTTTTAGGAACCCTCAACAATTTTGGAAATGAGGACTTTTTTTGCTCTTCACTTTTTTGGCCGAGAAAACAAAAAAAAAAACGAATTTGCAAGAGAATTTGGAGTTGAAAAATTCTTCCGATTTGCTAGGGATTTTCGCCAAAAAAGTGAAGAGCAAAAAAAAACGATTTTATCCTCATTTCCGATAAATTGTTCACTTCGTCAGGGACCCCCCATAGATTTTTCCAGGGACCCCCTACGGAATTTTGCCATCACCCCCCAAAAATTTTTGAAGAGTATTTCTACTTTTATGTAGTATTTAAACTCAAAATCAGTTTATTATGGTTGTAACGAACTTTGAGAATTGCCAGAAATTGCGATTAGTACTCGGAATTAATAATAATATAATTCATAATAATAATATAACAGATATTTAAATTTACGTATTTTAATCACATTTCATTGAAAAATGATTTCAATAATAAACATGAATTGTGTGACTAAGCCCCTAGCGCAACAATCAAAAGCCTTTATCAAAATGTAAGCCAAATTTCATGTCATATCTCGTCCAAAATAAAGTATAAAATCAGACGTATTTTCTTTAATAACTCAGAAAAGTTCGTGATTTATTATAGCCAACTTACTATACAGTGTCCACGTCTTCACGTCTTCACGTCAACAATAATTTTTAAAAACTGTAATTGGAAATTTTCATTAAAAATGAATATAAAATATATATTTGTTTTATTATTTGTCTATCTCGAAGTCCGTGCAAATTCGGATTCGGACCAGCTTTTCTATGCTGCTGAGCATGGTAATCTTAACCTCTTATAAAAATATATATAACTAACCAAATAAGACATGCTAAATTTCAAGTGATTGTGATAACAAACAAACCTTTTCATTTACGGAAAACATATATTTTTTCAAACCAAAAAAATTGACTTTCTTTGATTTTATATCATTTTCATATTTTCTACGAACGAACGAACGAACAAAAGTTGAATAAAAAATTGCTAACAATGATCAAATCGTTTCCGTTCGTTGGTTGGTTCGATTCTTGCCAAATGATCCAACAACCAAACACAGAGAGAAATATTTGAGTACGGCAACTCGCATTCGCGGTGTTAGCAGAGCATCTACCCCTCAAAATGAGTTACGCACTTTATTTTACTCTATTTTTGGTGATAATTTCATCCAAGTGGACGCATCATACTGAAAGAAGTGATATATTTGTACTACACATTGTGTAGTCATATGTACGTTGAACAAATTCGGCAAAGTTTTTCTTTTCTTTTTATTTTCGTTGACTGTAATTGACTACATATCGTCTTATTTTGTATGAAACAATCACATTTAGATAGTAAAAAATGTCCCAAATTAATCACTGACTAGGTAGTCGATATTTTTTTACACGGATTTGTTCATGAATTCAAATGGATTCCACAGATTGAATAGAAATTGCGTCTGACTAACGCGAACGTATAACGAAATAAATATTTTCGCTCGTTAGTAGGGATTTCATAGCTGTGGATAATTTATCAGATAAATTTTGGTATAATTTTCATTCGATATCACTGTAACACCAACAGGAAACCACGAATTTAGATCTCAAATACCAAAATAAATGTCAGTAAATCGAAATGTGCCAATGTCCCAAAATGTGTGTGATAAATTATATTCTGGCGGAATGATTCATTGTATCATAGTTGAATTTTTTTAAGTTTTTTATTATTTGTCAAATATAATTGAATTGGGTCCCATAAGGACCACATAATGTTACGTTCTTCACACTGCAGCTGAGAATGATCGTTTTTTGAATTTCAAATCAGAAAAGAAATAGAAGTTTAATCACATCACTTTTCGTGTTTCCTAGGTGACATAGATGAGGTCAAAACGCTAATCAACAATGGAGCCCATGCAGATGCTGAAAATCAAAGCAAAGAAACGCCACTTCACATGGCTGCTGCTGGGGGTAATTGTTTACTTTTCTGAATCAAGACCAAATATTTTCGATAAAATTTATTATATGTCTACAAACCGTGGATGTTAATTTTGGTTTTCAATTCTAAAAATAAAGTTTATTCTTATTACTAGGTCATATGGATGTAGTAAAATATTTAATAGAAAGAGGAGCGAATGTGAATGCTCAAACTTCAAATGGGAAATACACACCACTTCACCACGCAGCTACTGAAGGTAATTGCTCACTTTTCCAAATTGGAAATATAATAAATAGTTTCAAAAAGTGTATGCTTTTTACTTTTCGTACTTTTTAGGTAAAACAGAAATAGTTAATTATCTAATTGCGAACGGAGCGGATGTGAATGCAGAAACTAAGGAAAAAGAAACGCCGCTATTAAAAGCTATTAAGAGTTGTAATTATTAACTTTTACGAATTTAGAATAAATAGTTTCAGTGATGTTTATTCTTTTTATTTTTCGTTCTTTCTAGTTAAAACAGAAACAATTAAAGCTCTCATCAAAAAAGGAGCGAATGTGAATGTTAAAACCAAATCTTTGCAATACACCCCACTTCACTATGCTACTTTGAGTGGTAATTGTTCATTTTTTCAAATTTAGAATAAATAGTTCCAATAAAATTAAGGTTGATCACATTTCGCGTGACCACCAGTCAATGACCAAATAATAACAAATGTCGCTAAAAATTCTTTTTCTTTGAATGTCTTTTCAGGCGACGTTGAAATAATCAAATTATTAATAGAAAATGGTGCAAATCCATTCGCTTTAAATAGTACTCATGAAACTCCACGTGACTTGTCTAACAGATTTGGTAATTTGACCACACACTTTTAAATTGAAAGCATCTCAATGAAATTTATAATCACACACATTTCAGTTTACGAGGAAGCAGCTGATATTCTAAAGGAAGCAGAGAGTAACTATGGTAATTATCACAATTTTATTATAAAATAACTTGATCACACAAAACATTTGTTAAACGATTTTTCAAAGCACATATTCGGACAAACAGACACGTTCGAATGCCCGAAAAATATACCGTGTCCGAATGACCGAAACTATATTTCGGACAAATTGTGTCTGAAATACTTTCAGAGAAAAGTTCTAAAAGTTCGATATATGTCGTAAAAAGACGATCACAATATCCTTAGGATTGTGTGAATATGTTTCTCGATAGTATATAAATAAGGCAAATTACCACCAAGAGAAATTCTCAAATTGTTCGTTTGTCGTTTAATTGACGAACATTTAAATTTATGCCAAGAAAAATTTGGAGAAAATCCAAAAAATAATCTATTTCTAATTTACATAGTTGTTCAATCATTTTAACATCGAATTTGTCTCAAAATGAAATTTCAGTCCCAACGGAAACGACAACAACAACAACAACACCACCACCACCAACAACATCAACACCAATACCTGCTATGCCATAATTATGATCAAAGGTAAAAATTAAAAATTAACTTCAAATAAAATTCAAAGCATTTCTCACATGATCATATCCATATATCCATCCGATTAACTATAAATTTCAATCAATTACAGGCAATCGTTTTAATCAAACAGAAAACCAGCAAGCATCATCGACTGGAATTTAACAAAAAAATTAGTTATGGAACTTAGCAAACAATACAAAAAAAAAACGAACTTATAAATTGATAAAAAAAAACATTTTTTACTTGAAAAGATTGGAATTTTTATTCAAAACACAATAATGAGAATGAGTGAAAATTGAAAAAATAACTTAATGAAATTTTGATACGTATTTTATTCAGAAATAAAAATTGAATTTAAATCCAGATTTGAATGACCTTTATTCATTTATGACTTATTATGCTTATACCCTCCTAGAAGGAAATTTCTTTCAATCTGGCCTCACAGTATGTCATTTCGAATATGCATACAATTGGATTATATTAATCGCATGGTTTATCTTTCTGATCAAAGAAATATATAGTTGAACAGCATATTATTTTTAAAAATTTGTGTTTTATTAGTAAGTTGCCGCTTTGAATATTTTTACACAAGCACGACAAAGAACCATCCCAATCTGCCAACAAGAGAGTGCCTCCACTTGAACATTTTTCGATTGTGCAAATAGCAATAATATCAAACTAATCTCATTTGTTCTGTGACAGAAGCCGAAGTAAGAAGCTCTAGGATCCACGCTTATGGTGTCTATGGTTGAAGTAAAATAATTTATTTTAATGTTAAATCTATCTACTGCTATCAATACTGGTACAGAAAATGAAATAGGTAAGTAGAGATGGGTTAAATTTAAAATTCATTGTATTTCAATAAAAGTCAGATCAGATTTCGTCGCAACTTGACTTCGCGCAAATTTTATAAAGTCTTGAAATTCGAAATAGCAAAGGCTTAAAAAATCCAAAATGGAATTGATTCAAAAATATGTTGGCCACTGTACCCCAAAGGATAGATTGGAGATCGGTGAGTGTTTTATGCCCCTTGGCCCAAGATAAAGCGGTTTTTATCAAAACTCGAGCCTTTGACTTAAAATAAAAATAAAAAATGAACGATCTTTTAGCTCGTAAATTACTCTTCGGTTTAAACAAACAAAAACAAATAAATATTTGCAGGTTTATTTCATTTAATTAAAATATTCATGTTTTTGTCACAAACTCCAAATGTGTAATAATCTGAAGAAAAAAACCGGCGTGATTCAAATCAAAACAAAAAATGCGATCCTTTTTGGAGAAATATAATTTTAGACTTAATTTTATTATAAATAAATATCGTGTTCTTTTTATAATGAATCTAGAAAATAGTATTACATTTCATTACATTTTAATTAATATCTAACATAAGGTTTTAATTGAATGTATTGATTATAATCTTAGCTAGTATTGTTAAGCTGTATAAATCCAGACATCGTTCAATCGCTAAGAATTAGAATATCGCTAAGTACTACTGGATTAGGTCAAAATATATGTTTGACTGCTTATGAATGAATCTACACAATATATTTGTTGTATATACATCTCACATATAATTATCGCAAACGTCGTACAAGTAATTTAAATGTCGCTAAACAACCAATCGACTGGGTTTATGCCATCCGAAATCGATATGTCTCTGTCACATAGATTGATATAGTAATGTAAAGTAAATTGTTTTTTGTTGTTGTTTTTGTTTCTTCTGATGTTCGACAAAATCGATTTTTTCAAAATAATAAACTTTATTGCAGATTCTTGGACGAACATTCTATAATATTGGCAACTAATGTGTAAAGACGTTTATCTGCGATCCTTGGTTATTTACAAATTTTTATAAATTCATTTCACAAACAAACAAACAAAATTAATAAAGATAACTCGATCGTATCGCCCATATCGAATCATGGCAGTGGTGAATTTAACATATGTTTCCAGTGTATATTGAATCTATTTGTTGTGCATTTTCTTGTGTTCTCCAATGTGTATTATTGTTATTATCCATTTGGCAACTTTATCGATTTGGATGAATTTATTTTTTATTTTTATTTTTTTGTTGATTTGGCATTGACTACTTTTATTCATTCGTTCGTTCCATTTATTTTATTTGTCTCTGTTTTCAAATAAGCTCAAATGGGTTACGTTGATTATCGTTCATTCTATAGGTCTGCAAATTGAATCAGTTTTTAATTGGTACCATTTTGTAAATTGTTTTCTTCCATGATGTCGAACTTACTCATTGTTTCTTGATGTTGTAGTTCGACTTTGTAGCTCGGATTGTCATATGAAACATCATTCTTTCGCGGTGGTGTGATTGAGGCAGATTGACCACGTCTTCGTGTTACTATCAATAGCAACACAAGCGTCGACATCAATGATATCGCTGCAATCACAGAAACAATAACCAAAGGACCATAATAGTTACCAGTCATGCCCGCCTGATTCAATTCGCCATCCGACGAAAGTTTTCCTACATTTCAATGAAATAATAAAATGTGAATTCAGTTTCGTATTTTAATGAATGCGAAGTGATATCAACTATATCCACAACATATTTACCAGTTTTTCCCAAGACGCCCGGCTTTGTAGTGAAATCCACGACGTTACTCTTCTTAATTTTGCCATTGGTAAGATACATTTCAAGCCATAATTGATAACGAATGCCTGGTTTCAAATCAGCTATCAAAGTGCCAGTAGTTGAATCATGTTTCGCCACTTTGAAAACACTAGAATTATTGAAAAATTATGAAAAAATTCATTAGTTCAACACATTTAGGCAGAATTTTTCTCCAAAATTTACCTGGAATCCTCTTTTCCGCTGTCGCTTTGAACAATCGTACGATAAATATTAACATATTTATCTTCCGGATATGGAACGCCACTCCAGAGCACTTCAACGCTACCCATTTTGATTTTGGTCACATTCACGGTCACATCGAATCCATAAACATCAACAACTGGTGTCGTGCGCAATTGATGCATTTTACCAGCTCGTAGTTCAGCGCCATGGCCAGGGAATGGAATGAAAAACAGACCAAATTCATATGCAGTTTCTGGCTTCAAATTTTCAATTGTAAATGTATTTATTGTGCGATGAATCAACGGTGTTGCATCGTAAATAATTCCACCGACTTCTTTGTAACGTAATTGAATGCCATCCACATAGACTAGCTCCTCTTCGTTTAGTTTGCGCCAAGACAATCGAATCCATGTCGAATTCACTTCGTTAGCACGAAGTTCAGGATCTTGAATGTTTTTCAAAATATCAGCCATATTACCACTGCCGATAACCGGTTGTTGTGTTTCATAGGTGTCAATGAGGGGCGGTGGTGTTATTACAGCTTCGGCTGGTGTTTGTACGCGATACACTTTACTTGTTGGCTGTGCATTGATATCATGCAACATCAATGCAATTTTAACGTGATATTCTGAATTTGAATCAAGATTTCCCAGCTCAAATTCCATTTGAGACGTTGCAATTAAATCTTCTGGTGGTGCAAAGATCTGTTGTTGCCACATATTTGTATCATTGTTTCTGAAAATTTGAAAATATAAACCATTCAGGCTTTTGAGCAAAATAATAAACTTTTGATGAACAATTTTCACTTACCTTCCTTTGGTGTATCGAATTTCAACACGTCCGTGTAATCCAACGTAAATTTGTGGAACATTAAACACAACACGAACTGTACGACCGTTTACTGCCTCTAATGCAATAACTTGAATATCGGTTGAAAGTCCAAATCCAGCTGAGAAATTTGCATAAAGAAATTGTATTTAATTGATTGCTATATCATGTGGTTGACGAAATATGTAAAGAGAACTTTGCGAAAGCATAAAAAATGAAACAAAAAGCTTTATGAGTATGATTTTCAAAAGCAGGTTCAATGCCGCATGTCAATGTCAATAGAATTAAATCGAGCCAAAAGCCAATGCTAAAATGAAGGAAATCAAATGATAAGCACGTACCTGGTAGAAGGGGAATTTTTTGGTTCGATTCATTTGGAATTTGTGACAATGGATGTTGTCCAATACCAAATGGATAGGATAGTCCATTTGGTGCCTGATGGTGTACGCCATATGGAGGTTGTGATTGACCACCATCAATACCAGATCCGCCGTTTCCACCTTGAATTTGTTGTAAAATATGTTCAATATTTAAATGATGATTCTGGCCATTTCCACCTAGAATCAATTCGTGTTTTCCATCACCGTGCTGAATGATGAATGGATTATATTGATTTGGTTTCTGTGGTTTTGTTTCTGGTGGCAAACGATGATAGCTATCGCCATTAAAATCGTAGTCCGGATACTGATGTTTCGTCAATGATGGATTAAAGAATCCATTTCCAAGTTCGGGTGAAATGGGTTTTTTGTCATTATCCTCCTCATCAACGTCATCGTAATTGTCAAAGCTGTCGTATTTTGTTGGCGGTTCTAGTTTGGTTGGTGCTTGTGATATGATTGGACCGGGATATTTGGTGTCAGTTTTCGTTGGTTTTTTTGTCGGTTTCACTGGCACCTGAACACCTTTGTTCGGCTGACCAATGCTTGTCGGATATAATGGATGTATGCCATTCTCTTCTTTGTGATCATTGTTTTCATTTTCAATTGGCTTTTTATGTATGAATATGCTATCTATATTTGATGATATGTGCGATGAAGGTGCAGAATCTATTTTATGATGCAATATGAAAGTGGTGATAAGAAATGATGAATAAAGAAAAAGCAACATAAAACACACAAATATGATATGAATTTTTACCGTCATTTGTTGCATCAACACATGCCCAGTGCTTACAGCATTCATCATCTGGAATTGGTACAACTTTTGGAATTTGTTTTTCATTGCATTTTAAGTGTTTTGGTGGCTTGGCTGGCACCGAACACGATGGTCGACACTCAACTTTTCCACGTTCACAGAAACAATGCTGCTCACATCCGGTCAAATTTGCTGGTATATCACTCCAATTATCGAAATACTGTCCTTTATATTCACAGGTTCCATTGTCAATGCAACGCATTCGCTCTAAATTAACAATGACATTTGATCAATACCACATAAATTATTCGTATGATTATTATTACCTGGGCAACATTTTGGCACAATAGCACGAAATGTTGCTGGTTCTGGTGCCCATTCCAAACAGTGTGGATCCATGATTTCCAATCCAAATGTTGAAGGACATTCGATTTTTTCGCAATGCACACCCTCAGCCATGCAAATACACAATGAATCACAACCTTCATTGAATTGTTGACCTAAATAGAGAATTAGATATGATAAAAGCACACCAAGAAAATTTTATTTAATGACTGATTTACCTTTTTTATATTTGTTGCCATTGTGCTCGCAATCGAAATTATTATCGGAATCATTGTCATCAGCTGAAGACATTGCCGGAATTGAACTGGCAGAACTCGATGCACGTTCTTTATATTCGATCATTGTTCGATTTTCTTTTTTATGTTTCGATGCATCAACAAACGATGGTGGTGCTGGAACAATGGCTATAGCCCCCATTTGTTCATGATCGTTTAGTGTAACATCGCACAATTCGATGTGACAACATACATCTTTTGGATCGGGAACGGTTACACATTGATCATGGGTTGCTGTTGTGTGATTCATTTTTGGACAACGCGGTTCACATTCAACACTTACCGTCGATGCAACACATCTACAGATTTGTTCACACCCATCTTCGATTTGTTCATGTATGGCATATTTTTTACCTTTAAACATGCAATAATCATTGTTTTGAACGATCGCTGGTGGTGATTTTCCATGCATCGCTTGTTCTAAAATCTTTTTTGTCGGAACTTCGGATGAATCTTGTTCGACAGCAGCTGATACTGTTTCCATTGAACCTAATGATGAAACATGAATACTTATTTTATTATTTGCGATAATTTTTGAATAGAGTGCGCCTAACATCAATTAATCACACGGTACAAAAAGGTTGTCGTTCTCATTAAAAACGTTGATATTTGAAAAAAAAAAAAAAAAATGAATACACAGAGGAATATACGAACCTGATTCATGGAAAAGTGATGGAGAAACTTTATCTTCAGCATTATTGCATCCATCCTGTAGAAAAATAAATGGATTTAATTCACTTGAATTTATTTTTGTTTGTAAATTTTAAATGAATGAAACAATAAAGCAAATCGGGGATAATAACTAAAATCTACTTTGATACGATAAAGCCAACGTAAATTTACGTCTCTAATGTATTGATGATGTAATTTGAAAAAAAACGTGAATAATAGTAAGCGCATTTATTGAGAGCAATTCCCACAGTATATAGTTAAGTTTCTGGCCTTATATGTTTCAAATGAAAATGGCACAGTATTCAAATTAGCCTACCAAATTAAAAGATCTGTAGACAGATATAGTTACATAGAATTGTTGTCATGTGTAGATCGCTTAATGCATGTACTACAAAAAAAATTGAAGCTTTGTCACGCAATTGATGCCAAAATAAAATTTATATGTGATAATAAAATAATTGAGGCAGGAACCAAAATAAATTGGTTAGTTATTGAATCATTAAAACTACCCAGTACACTATAGACGCAGTAGCGATTTGTGAAAATGTGATTTTTTTGGTTCACACAACGGTGAGGAATAAAATGCAATCACACAGTTAAATAGTACGGCTCACCATTTAGATCAATATTACATCAATTCCGATTGAATTATTTCTCTATAGACAAAAATCTTTTCAATTCGGATCCATTGTTTTCGTATATTGTATTAACGTTGGTGTTATCGTTAAGTGTTGTTCGATTTGACTCCGATTCAGTTGAATTGCAATTTTTAAACGTGAACACGAAGCCATGACGCACACACACACACAAATACATTCAAATGAAGAATGAATGCCATCGATTTAAAAGTAAATCAACCTTATATAACCTTTCGAACACTCTAGTACAGCTACGCGGTAAGTGTGTTCGAAGAGCAAGTGAACTAAAAATTGAACTATGCGCTGAAAAATCAATATCTGAATTGTAAAATTTTAATTTTCAATTTGTTCATTCTAAATTTGAAAAATAATTCCAATCGATCCATGAAAAGAGAGACTAAATTCACAACAGAATAAATCCCATTGAAAACTGAAGAATAAAAAGAAGAACTGTTACAATTTTTGTTTCACAATGCATACTTTTTTTTACTCTACCTGATTCAACTGATTGACATTCGAATTAGACATATCAAGTGATTCATAGAAACTTGGTAACCGTCACATTCATATTTGGGCGAAAATTTAAATGTCGCGCTTAGTACCACATTTCAGCCACTACACCGAATGGCGCCCATTCAAAATCGTTGAGCTATGGTGCACTACATCATTTCTTGCCATTAAACGGTATTTCTCTCATTAAATTTGCACTTGTTAATAAAACAAAGCGGTGTATATGTAATAAACACACATTGGACGCTGTGGAAAAACGATGTGAATTACAATAAATCAGCGTATACGATGCTTATTTGTTTGTTATAGTTCACTTTTTACTTATGTTCCCCATTTACTTCATTAACGTGATCTATGTGCATCATATAGTACCAGACATTAGACCAGACCAGATAGATTTTATAGGTGCTATTCATAGGCGCTATTCATGGGGCGAATCACGCTAGTGAATACTAGAAAAACTAGTAAATCTAGTGCGAAGAATGACGTCACAAACGAAGCCAACTTCACACCAAAGGACATATAATTTATATGAAAAATTACTGAGAGCCAACTTCACGCACTAGAATTTTCTAGTTTTCTAGTGAATTTTTATAAAATAACGCACAATATGCATAAATGCAATAAAACGAGATAAATAGCGCCTATGAATAGCGGCTATGAAATAGCAGCCGCTATATCCATAGCTCAAACCTAATGTCTGTATAGTACATTCTAATTTTTGCAAACATTTTTTCTCTTCTCTCGAATGAATATCGTTGTTTTCATTCGGATTCAATGTGAATTAAAATAAAAACCGAAATTGTATGTACATATTGTACATAGGACTTTGTGGGCTTGTTTATTTGTTGATAATCTTGAGCACTTTTTTTGTGCCCAAACATGTCGTAAAATTCGTTTATTTTATTATATATTCTCAAAACAACAATAAAAAAAAACGATTCACCTATATATGTTTATCTCGCTTATCATATTTAATGTACTCTTAAATGAATCATTAAGTCTATTTTCAATCATTCAAGTGCTGATGGTGAGCAATGAAAAAATTCATTGACTATAAAATGTTGCCCATCAAAGAACACAAAATAAATATTCAAAAAAAAAGTCATCTGAAGTTGTTTGTTTTTGTCTTCGAGTGTACTTTTACATTTGTTTTTTTCTTTGCAATAGTGAATCGTCAATGTTAACTATGGTTGGTGAAGAAAATTTTCTTGATGATGTCATTAGCACATGATTGAGGTCAGATACATTCTTAATTAAGACCGAAGATGGTACAAAGAAAGAAAATGATAACTAATCATATTTACTGTTTTCCTTTGAACAAAATCACGATGTGGTGACATGACAAATTCCTCACTCATTTCAACGATATATAATATATATCGACACAAACTGACTTAAATTTAGTGATTACATTTGCTTAAGTTGACACATTTTGTAAAATAAATTAAGGCATCTGTGTATGTAAACGTTTTCGATCGATTGATTTCTAATTCGATCCTAATCGGTGTACTTGCGATGGCATTTTTCATAGATTTTTTATTATTACATTTGTATGTAATTTTGAAATTTCGCTAAAACATTTGATATTAGCTGTATTGGTAGTAACAATATTTGATGGAAATCGTTATAATTTCAATGTTTCTGTTACTGAAAGAATACAATGAAACATATTTATTTGTCGGTTGATCGGTGCCACTCTGCCACTAACCTGTCGGCAGCCCATCAACCTATAAAATGAAATACTTCACCTTATTTAAAGTTCAATCAATCTAATAAAATAGCAAATGCAAAAATGCCAAAAACGCTGCCTTACATTTATTGTTGTATTACACGAATATCTTGTTCAAAATTATTAAAGTTCATCAAATTCAATATGCATTCTGTCGTTTTACTACTGAATATGGGTTGCCAGACTTAAGAGTACGCGATATATTGAATCATGGTTCATCTCTTTGATAATTTCGTCATTGAGTATTATCTGTGAAAATCTTAACTGACCAATCACGTTTTTCTAATTTTTCTGTAAATTGCATGACTTACATCTCACATATCATATCGTGTCATTGTTTCGTTCGGGAGATCATTTTGTTTTTCTCTGTGTTTGATATGATATTTTCCATCTTCATGTCATACTCAAGGTTTTTTTTCACTGGCATTGTAATCAACGTGTTTCAGTTGCCATTTGTATTTATCAAATTCTCACGACAGTACAAAATGTGCGAATTTTGTCGCTTTTTCTTTTCACCTCTCTACACATATATTTTTCTTTCTCTCGACAAAATATTATACTGAGATCATTTGTCTTACCGCATTCTTTTTTCAGACGAAAATGTTCTCATGCCTTTCAAAATGCTTATGAAAAATCGTAAATTGATGCGAACATTATTTCACTTCTTTTATGATTTCCGTTTCAATAATTGTTCAAAATAGAGTGCATTTTTGACTATGTAACTTAGTAATATAGCGATTATTTCTTTCTTCAGTTAATAGTTTGTGGGCGTACGCACACCAACATACCAACATAAAACTAAGCATGTAAGTGTTATTTCACAACAATATGTCCATATTTGTTGTCATAAAGGTACTCTTATTTAAAATAGCTTTTCATTCCATTTTTTCGCTTCATGTATTCTTGACCATAAACCATTTCTCAAACCTGTCAATTTTTCGACACGCTTTTATTCACCAACAATTGCAACAGCATTTGAGCAACATTTTACTAATGGCGATATTGTGTGGCAGAGAAAAGAGAACACAACTTTCAAATATATCAATCGGATTGATGTGAATACAACAGTTTCATGAAATGACACAAAAGAGAAATGAAACGCGGATAAGAATTTTCATTTTTTTTAAATGCCCAGAAAATAACATTGGCACCATTGATGCACTCAGATTGTTTTTTTTTTTTTCATAATATATAATGACATTTTATTGTTTTCAAACCAAAAGAAACTCTTTGACTTAAACTATTTTGAGTAATTGATATTCGTAGATTTTCTTTAAAATAAGAAAACAATCTAAATACCTGAGGAGCTTGTTTATTATTTATGCTTAAATTCTTCAGTTAAATTGAGAAGCACCCAAAGAAATTGTGCATTAAGTTTATGATCATGTTGCGTGTCTGTTTTACTCCATGTTGTGCCTGCAAATCTGCATAGGCCACTAAATTAAATCATAAGTTGTTGAAAGCGAATCAATGAATGCTGGTTCGCAGGCTAGAACGTGAATGGTAGAATGAAATAAATCGTTTTAAATGAAACGCAAGTAAGAAAATGAGTGTGTGTACACAAATGCGTTATGAAAGTGAATATATTAATGCATTTTAAATGCAAAAAAAAGAAACAGAAACAAAATGTATTAAAAACGCAAGAGGCAGAACATTTGTGATGTAAAATAGATGCCGAATGAAATGAAGAGCAACAAGAAGAATCAAAAAGAATAGGTAGAAATTTACATGTAATAATTGGGAAAGGTATAGAAAACCGTTATTTAATGCAGAATGCACGATGAAAATTGCACACGACGGTGTACTCGTGCTGAGTTATATTTACATTACAGTGGAAAACTCACAAAACGAACTTAAGTTCGCTCAACTCGAATACTAATCAATTTAATAATATGTTTTATAAATAAGATTTCTTCGATACTCAGATATAATAAGCATTTAGAACACATTCAAACTTCGTTTTATTTCTCCACAAAAACAGTGCAAAATCTGATGCGCAAATGTAAGACTAAGAGTGAATTCAGTTGGACGTTTCTCTCTGCATAGATAGCACCATAAATGTACAAAAATTCTCTTGTTTCCAATGATTGATTCGTCAAGAAAATTTTATATGTTGCGAAAGGCATTCTTTGTCTAAGTATCCATTTAGACATCAGCTAGTAAAGTAATAATTTTTTTTTGAATTTCAGATTATTTCAGGCATATTCAATTAAAGTGTAATCATAAATAACATCATTTCTTAACTATGGAAACTGCTGCATTTTAATTGAAAAATGTAATTAGGTCAGATAATGTTTCAAAATTGGTTCTAGTTTGTCATATGTAGAATTGAAAAATTTATGCGTACGGATTCATACACAAAAAATATCTTTCGTATGAGTAACATAGAATATTAGCTAGGTGAAAATTGCATTGGCTGCAAATCCATAAATTATATGTACCAATTAGACTTTAATGTGTTATTTGTTACTCAGTAAATATAATTTATTAATGAATTTATTTTATTTAGACAATAAACAAACATCAATTCCGTTGCTGTTGAACTAAATAATAAAATGAATAAAACTCGCTCAAAGTTTCTGTCTTTCACTTTAACGATTTAGTCACATTTTTATTTTATTTTTTTAATTGTTTGTATTTCAACACGTATTTGTAAATTGTTTTCGATTTCATTGAATCTATTGAATCATATGAAAGAATGACAATGAATTGGTGTATCTGCGTGCGTAATTTGTATTCAACACTTGATATTAAAAGCAAACACTTTCTGTTTGCTATAAAGATATGTTGGAATTTTTTTTTGTATTTAGTAAGACGCAATTATTTGCATTGAAACTATTAGTTGACGTTGTAAGTGACTCATAGCATTCGAATTCACAAAAAACGAAGTTTTTATTCAATATGGAAAATATAAAGTATGCATTCCCAAATGATCGATTTCAACGGATTTTTAATTGACGTACGTAATAGAAAAACATTTTGTGACCTCCAATTACCGTATAAAGTGTGGGAAAATCCCAACATAAATGTCAAATTTGTATTGACGTCATAAACGCTTTATGGAACAGTTCAATGGAAATATACATTCAAATATGCGATTTTCCATTGAAATAAAAACCAAACATGAATTTTCGTTTCAATTTCTTCCAATTAGACCGATGTGAAATTTTAACAGAAATTTTATGATGCAATCAAATTAAATCTTGTTTACCTTTGATAGACATTCCGGTTCATGAGTCAATGTGGCCGTTTGAGTTGGTGCAATGTGTTCACTGCTGTGAACTTCCATGCCATCATTATCCATGCTGACATCACTTAGATCGTCGCTGAATGTTTTCAAAGACTTTGGCATCGATTGGGTCGGAGGCGCAGTTACATAAATTACACCGGATGCTGGCTGCCTGTGTTCAACACCACTTAAATTCAATGCACGTCCTCGAATTGATTCAATATCATCTTTTGATACAATTCGTGTTCGTTCATTTGGTTTTGTAATGCTTGCCGTGGTTGAGCTACTAACAAATTCCGACTTTGCTTGTGGTACAGTAACGGGTTCTGTTGTCACCGTTGTTACATCATTCGCCGTTACACGCTCTGCATTTGTGTTTTTAATGGTTGTTTCATCTTTGCTATCATCGTTGCTAGTAGGTGAATCATTGCTCTGTTCACCAATCGGCATTTCAGTTTTGGCAAACACAGTAACCGTACTTCCTTCTTCCTCGTCTTCGTTGACATCTTCTGTTGTTACGATCGTTGTTGACTTTTCCGTTGTTGACTGTAGCTGTGGCGCTGTTGTTGGCGCAATTGTTGATCTTAATTTTGCCATTTGTGCAATTGTACTACTTTCCTCTTCATCATTTTGATCTGACAGCTTTTCTGGTGTTGACAATAGCTCCAAACTTTCGGTCGTCACTTTTATTGAATTGGTCGTACTTGTTTCTGTATGGGATTGAAAAAGAAGAACAAATTAGTAAGACAAAAAATAATGTCAAAATCAGAAAAAAAAAACGAAAGTCAGACTTTTCATAAAGTTAATAGGAAAAAAATTGGGTTTTTGGGTGCTAATCTAATCCACTTTTTCACTTTCTTATATTAGAGTAACAGATGATACGTTCAATTTCTAACTGTCGATTTTTTTAAATTTTAAAACCACCTTCACAACTTTGGAAAGTTTAGTCTATAGAAATTTTGGTTTTTAATGCAAACGAAAGATTTGCAGATGTTATAAATAAAAAAGAAACAAACTTTTTCCGTTCGCTTCTAATTATATTCAAAGAGAAATAATTCTTTTGATTGAGATTTTTTTTATTGCAATGGACAAAATGCTTTTCAAAAGGGAGATGGCATTTTCGAATGTGAAAAGCTGTGTAAATAGATTTCAAGGGGTTTTACTTCCATCTCAAAATATTTAGGGGCAATGTTCAACAGAGACATTATTTTAAGGGCATCGATCATTAGGAAAATTTCAAACTCATTTATTCAAAAATATGAACTGTTTAAGCCGATTTTGATAACATGCTCAAATTTACTGCTTTTTTTTACATGAAATCACAAATATCTATCATTCGCCTTTAATGTTCATATCAGTCGAGTTCAAATCATTAAATATCGATCAAAATACCGTAATTGTCTGAAAATTTCATGTACTCTTTTTTTTACAAATAAACGTTGAACAAAAAAATGCGAACAAAATGATTATAACTGGTTTCAAGTGATTTTCGTGATGTATTAGAGCAAACGAATACACTAGCGGAAAAAATATATGTGCGAAAACTAGATTTTGTATGTCGCGTGTTTACCAACTATTACTATTAAATTAAGCGCGACATAATTTCGAGTTTGGCGCACCAAATTGTATATGTTAGACATTGTCTAATAATAAGCAACAGCACTACCTAAATGGGTAGCGAAAAAAAGATTAACGAAGAAGGAATCTCATTTTACAACATGTTGGATGTGAATAATCGACTAACATTTATAGCTGGTTGGAAGTTCATATAATTTCGGGCGTTCATTCACTTCACTGTTCTTATATATCGGAGATTCCATACGAACGAATACAAAATTCACATTTTTACTAATTTTTACTGCTTTTTTTTATAGTACTCTTGAGAAGCTACCAGGGGCCACAAAAAATCAGAACCCATAGTAGGACTCAATTCCACTTCGGACCTTCTTTCGAAAACTTAAGTATGATGTGGAAAGTACGTGTTTTCATTTCTCAGCCAATTATCAATCATTTAAACCAGGGATTGTTCCTCTGAGGAGCAGGATCGGCGAGTAGGAAAATGAGGAGGAGGAGGAGGAGGTGAGCGCTGAGGAAGATTCTTCTCCTCAAGTGAGGAGGAAAAGTTTTTTTTAGTTAAAAAGCTATTTTCATCACGAATAATGTATTTTTCATTTTTTTTTGTACAAAAATCTTTCCTCCTCTTCCTCAGCCTCCTCATTTTTCTCCTCACCGATCTTCCTCAGAGGAACAGTCTCTGATTTAAACCAAAAAAATTAGAAAATCGTTGCGATTTTTGTTGACTTCGCTCATATGGAATTGTCGATATATGATTTTTATGTTTTGCTGTTGTAAGATTTAGCCCGTAATTTCGCATTTTTTTTTGAATATACTGAACTAGTTTCGACTTGATTGACTAAATTTCAAGATATTTACAGAAAAAATGAATGGATTTTCTTTTAAACGGTTGAGAAATGTTAAATGGTTGATAGAAAATTTACTAAATGCAACGAGTGATTTGATGCACATTTTACATCATAATTTGGCACCTCAAAATAAACCAGTACAAAAACATTCATATCTGTGTAGTGTGTATTCAGTCGTCTGCCATGCACCTTATTTTTTATTGAACTTCGTTTCAACCAAAGAGTTCGTTCTTCAGTGTGAATATATTTTGGAAAAGTCGAAAGATTGTGCCCCAAATGAAACAGAATAAACTACATAAACAAAAAAAGCATGCTCTCAAACATTATTTTACGATGTGATATACCATCTGTGTAAGATACAATGCTATTGTTTTCATTCGACGATATAATTAGTATCGACTCATTGTTGGCAAATATGTAAGGTAAGATCACTATGCATATTTTTGGTGTTGAAGTAATTAAAAAAATTTACAGAGACGTAAGAGATCGTCTAACTCAATCATCCAGAAGAACATTGTTTTTTTTTCATTACGTGTATTTATTACTGCGGCGTAATTTATATGTGGTTAGTAATTTGCGTCTAAATGAAATCAAACACACACACACACAGTGTCCGGGTAAAAGTGATTAATTTTCCCTTTTCGCTGCGTTCATTTGGCGTTAATTGGCTAAAAGTTGTTTCAATAAGAGTTCATTGATCGAAACGAAAACTAATGCGGAAGGACTAACCACTGGCTGTCAACTTAAAATTATAATTACAATCCATAACACAATAATCGTTCATTATTATTGCTATATTTTAGTGACTTTTATATCGAGTTAATATCCGATTGTTGCTCTTCTTCACCGGCGTACCGGCAATTTGCGGTTAATACTATTATTGGATTTCAATTACTTGTTATTTGCATCTTCAAATCACTTTACAGTTATACAGTCGGACCATATGAAGCAAAACAAAATTAATTATATCATGGAAAAAGAAAATGTGTGAATATGTTGATCGTGTGAAACTTAGCAAAGCAAATATATATATGTTGATGAAGAAAACGTTCAAAACTCTGTTATTGGGAACAAGTGAAAATAGTGGAAGAGTTGGTGAATGGTACATATACGGATTTATGGCGTTGTATGGTGATTTTTATTGTTGAATTTATACTCGATTTTTTTATGTGTGCAATATATATAACGTATAAAGATGAACCGTGCCGAAGAGCTCGAAATTAAGATGGTTTAAAATATGAAGACGCAACAAGATGTGAAAAATGAAACAATAATTTACCAACCTTTAGTTTGTATGATATCTGCATTATTATCTAGCTGTGGCTCAATATCGCCGACTACAACGCCAAACAAAAGTAATCCGAAATAAATCAAAACCGCCGCACTTTTTCTACACATTTTGATTGAATTTTTTATATACACACACATACATACACTGACTGACACTTATACTGACGCAAAACACTCTTTTTTTTGCACGATTATTATTATTATGATCTTGATATTCCAATTTCGTGTGATTTGTTTGTCGTTTTGTTCTCTATATGTTTTGGTTTCTTTTTTTCTGTATAATTTTCTCTCGCTCTCTCTCTCTTTTGCTCTCACTCGGCAAACTTGTTCTGCACTCACACTAAAAAATCATCACACCAATACATATCACACATTTTATTTTAATTTTTTTTTACGTTTTCTCTTTATTTTCATAATTTGTTATTGATGTTTTTGCTGTTTCGTACTCATTTTCAACGCAAAGTTGCACCGAATTTTCGTTCTACATTCATTGATATGCGTTGATAATTGTAAGAAGTTTCTCTCCGAACGGTCCAAATAATTATCACACAAATGATCCAAAACGTTGTGAAACTTTAACAATATTAAGCGAACGAAAAAAAAATCGAATAAAATTGAATTCTTCACGTAAAATCGATTTTATTTTATTGACCGTACCGTTTTGAAAAGAAAATCTTCTTTTCACGATCCACAAATCAATTTTCTATTCACTATTGTTACCGCACTATATTTTAAACACTATTCTAATTTTACTATTGTTGTCATTTAATATTTACGAATGTTCTTATGCGTCGATTCGCTTTAAATAAAAAAAAAGCCTATTTCATTTTTATGATGCATTCATTTGCATGCTCGTTGAGTCTCTCAATTCACACATTCGTCACGAGTTAATTTGGTCACACGTTTTCGTTAGGCTTCTTTTCATTGCACAATTTATAAAATTAAATCCATCGAATGACCAGCCGTGAATGAAATTATGCAGTGTTGCGCCTCATTCATTTACTCAATTATCGATGGTCCACTTTCACTAAAACTTCTTTCTTTATTGAATTTTACACTTGGTCGATTCGAAATTGAAATCAGGTCGATTGACCAATCTCAACACATACAATACGCCTGAAGGTCAAAGGAAAATCCACAATTGTTGATTGTATCCTGAAATTACAAGAAAAAAATCAATATGTTAATATCTAAAGTTGACGCTATATTAAAGGTTTTTCATTGGAAGTGCATTTATTCATTATATTTGCAAACTCATTTGAATGAACAACAGTTGCGCAGCTCAGAAAGTAGGAGTTTTTTTTAATGGTTGAGTAGTGTTTAAAGATGATTTGTTGATTTGATAATCATAATTTCCCGTAAATGAAATATGCATCGATACGATTATAGAATAATTGTGTTTGAACTGAAACTATATAATTTGAAATCCGGAAATGTTATCGATGATGAGAGAAAAATGATTGAGAAAAATTGACTGTAGCTTGACGTCGAAAATGAAAATGAATTTTTTGCAGTTAGTTTTGCACATAATTTTCGATATGGAATGGCAATTGGAACGCCGCTTTGTCTTATTCTGGCCGGAATATGCGAATGCGATACCAAAAATGGTGTATGTGTTTTTGTTATTGATTTTTTTTTCTTCACTTGTATGAATTCATCGTTCATTTACATTAAACATCGTTGTTGGAAACTTGATTGTGTGGGATTGTGTGTTTGTAATTAAATATATGACGACAATCGTGATCATGTCATGATGCTTTGAAGTTGTTTGTTGGTTTCATTGCAATAAATGATCAACACTCCAACTAATGACACTCAATGCTCTCAATCAATGTAGAGAGAGAGTTGCATTTCTCTTTTTATCACATGAATTTGCTGCAAGATTCGCTAAAATTGCAGCCCCAATCAAGAAAACTGCATGCGTTGATTTCTTATGGTTTTCAGCCTACTGATTTCAAGGTTTTCTTCAAAGCGATTTGCAGCATTTTTACAGTTTCTTTTTTTAATCAAATGCGCTTGCTAATTACCAACGGCTCATGCAATTTATTTATTCGTCTCTCATCTTCGATTGCTTTCCGTGTTCATTGAGACTTTGCACAAAAAAATTTCTTTAAATTCTCATTTTGATATGTTATCGCTTACATATTTTGCCCAATAGTTCGTCAAAAACTCGTTTGGCATTCGATGAAAATCGTAAGAAAAGAGAGATAAAAAAATGTGTAAATAATCGCCATTCGCTGGCATCTGCTGGGTAATAAATCTGATTTAAACGAAAAACAAATCAATCAAAATTGTAACCCGTTCATTAATATATCACTATTTCTCCGCACGAAAAACGCTACGATCACGGAAACAATAGAAATCGGTCTTGTGTTTTTTTACTTTATGATTTTTAAAATAGAAGACGAAAATGAAATGTGTATTCATGCTCATACATTCATTCATCCTATCCAATGAATTGGAGTAGAACAAATTTCTTTTTCACATTTATTTTTATGTTTCACATATTATTTGTGAAACACAATCAATTTATTCCTATGTTTATGTATTTTTTTAAGTCCAAGCGCAAACACATTTACTCGCCACTGTTGTATGTTCATTTCAAATAAATCAAATTAACAGCAATGTTTGAATGCTTCTTCATTTTCATCTAAATTAAGTTATTCAACTTGTTAATAACATTGATTTAACACATTTGCTTACACAAAGCGATATCTCTTCGTTTATTTTGCGTACATTTATTCGTTTTCAATTGTGCGCTTCGTGAATGCAAAATCAAATATGAACTTTGATTGATAAATAATAAACGCGTCGCGGATGTTTACAAACGAATGAATTGGAATAAACAGACATTCATTTTCGGCTTTCATTGCGATACGCCCGTGGAAACATTTTTGTTTGGCATTTATATGTCTATTGTCACAATTGAATAAACCGGCCAAAAATGTGTGGAAATGAACTATAATCGAAATAATTTTTTGCTCATTTTCGGATGAATTGTTATATAGCGTGTAATTAAATAAAGTACTATAACTTCTCCTTTGTGCGAGTGTTTTAAGTCCAATTGCATCTGATCAGATGGTAATAATCGAATGATTTGAGGAAATCAATTGCTTCACTTTCAATCGATTGAAAAATATCGAACGATTAATTCTAGTTTCTTTCATCTCTTTGAAAATAATTGAGTTTTTTTCACTTTTTAAGGCATATACTTTTTTAAATATGAAACATGTTTGGTTTCTTGGTAACTTATACAAAATTTCAACAAACCGGAAACATTTAATTAACTATTCAAAACACACGTAATATGTTTTGTTATACTCATTGCCACTAGCAAAATTACCGATGCGCAAATTTAACTACGTCATGTCTTCCAAGAGTGTGTTTATTTACCGAAAGAGTGAAGAGAAGAAAAAAACCAAAAGTGGCTATAAAAATGCAACCTTTGGGTAATTCCAAAGATTCTGTTTTTATATAAAAAAATATTGTAAATAAATAAATATTCGATTGAAAATAGCATCAAATGTGTAAACAAGAACTCCACAAATAAATATACTTCAAATATACTATTGTATAAATCCAAATAATTATTCCGAATTGAAAATGTTTGTTGTGAACCGATTTCATTTTGACCTCGACGAAGAAAGCTAACTAAAAATGAGAATGTGCGCCGTAGGAATGCGTGGTATTCACCGATGCAAAACCAAAAGGGCAATCGACCAAAATACAACTGCTTTTTTTAAAACCAGTATTGTTAACATTTGAAACGACAATGTTGATTATGAATGTGAGATTTGCTTGTTTTTTTTATTTCACTGGAGCAAACTATTAAATTAGACTGGATTGTGTTGACGGCATTTGTTCGTTAACCAATTGATCTAAATGAACGAATTGAATTTAGTATGGTTTTCTAAATTAATGATGCTAAAATCATTTACAATTTTTTTTTTACATTTTTTTTATATGGCAATTTTCCGTCCACTTAAAATTATTCATTAGTGTTTATGAAATAAAATAACGAGTTATTATTGTTTTGCATAGAGCGGTCACCGTATTTCGTGTTTTTGTATAGTGGCACAAAAAAATGTTTCCATTCATTTTGAGTGTTTCGTTTCTGAACAAATTAGTATTTTTTTTAAACCGATATACGAAAATTACATTCAGTAATTTTGTTCAGCGAACACCCATCGTCAGCTTAGAGCTGTGCACTATAAATGTCCAAATGATTTTAAAATGCGTTTAAATGAATTGCGAACACTGTATGATCGTTATGTGCGTGTGCTAAGGGAGCTGTCAGAGATTTTTTGCTTGTTGTTTGTGAGACCGGTATTAGATAGAGATATAATAAAAAGTGCGGCGTTCAAGGCAATCTTGTAGACTTTGATAAAGAATGTGATACATTCACTTCATTCCAAATTCTGATCCGGTGGTGAAAAAGTGCCGTTGATCAATGTTAGTCATATACAGTGGTTTGGTTTGGTTTGGTGGTGCGGTTTCGGCATTTTATGACCTTCACCGATAGAATATCAAAATAGATTACATACACATGATATACCTGGTGCAAATGCAATCTCTCGGCATTTAAATAAATTTACATGCCGTGTGAATATTTTGCGCAAATTTTTATGTGCTCTGTTGTTTCAGAAGGGCTACACACAGAATTTCAAAGACACATGCACGACGGAAAAACGCAATACGATTTTGTGTTTTGCTCATTTATTTAATGAAATAATTGTATAATTATGATTAGACGTTCGCACAGCATACAACGGTTAATCATGTTTTCAGCAGAATGCGTGCATTATAGCGCACAGAGAACGAAAAAAAAAACACACACACAGCATTCTTATATTTTGATGTGTGACAACGATGCGATAATGCTGAAAGGCGGCCTACCAAACCGGCGACGATTTCTAATTAATTCATGAAAAAATCATACAATTCTTTTTTTTTTTTTTTTTCATTTCATAGATCATTTTTGATTTAAGGGCGATACAAAAATTGAGTATATTTTTCATGACAACGATATTAACAACAACTTTACAGAAAGATACTTGTTGCTTACAATAACGGCATGAATGCAAGGGAATATAAGGAATGAATTGAGAAATTTGCTTAAGCTTTCTGGACATGCAAAATGGATATTCACAAATTCGTGTGAATCATGTTGAACGAATCTTTCTCTCACCCACTCCACCTCTGCCTTTGTACCTCTCTCTCTCTCTTTTCTTTCGGTTTCAGCGTGTTTAGTGAATATACACATATTATGACTAAAATTACGTGGCATTCGTGCATTTTCATAAATTGATGAATTTACACATGAAACAAGATTGCAATAATTAAGAGGATGTTGCTAGTGATCTCATTTTTGTTGCTTGTTTGTATTGAAATCTTTTTCAAAATTGCTTCTTGCATTTTTTACAACACACCTTAATTTCCTTCGATGCGTATACAAAAAATTTCAAAATTTCAGCATCGAAATTGAGCAATAACAGAAACTCATCATCCGGATATAGTGTATTTGCACGTTGGTCTACTGATGTAAACGTCAAACCAGCAATAGGTGTGCTTCACGCTTTAAACACAACCATTATTTTATATTGTCTGTATTTGTGCGTATGTTTAGCGCATGTCAAAGACAAAGCCAATGACACCATGTTCAACCATCAACTCACACTCGTTGAATTGCGACATATAACCAAAATCGAAATATATCTCGAATTTTTCTTAGAGTATTTTTATTATTCCATATTTGTAATGGAACCATGAAGCGGAGACATCAAGAGATATAAGGTAAATCGAACGAAAAATGCTAACGAATGGCGGATGAAAATAAGAAGTGTATTTAAAAGAAAAAAATGGCAATGGCGTAACTGATCTTATTTGAATATAACATCAAGATAATATACACAGAAATTGTGAGTACTTTGGTGGCGGCAAAGTAAAGTCATTTGAGCATTCTCAAACTCACATATGTGAAACGTGTGACAGTATCGCACCAACACACGCATTCGCAAAAATGGCAACAACAACAACAGTGCCAATAGGAAGAGAAAATGAAAAATAAACTAAGAAATACTTTTGTTCAAACAATATATAACGAGAAAAAACACAATGGCATTCACAAGATTTGCTATGGGCATGGTATAAACTACCTTTTTTCACCAACAAAATTATTACATTTGGTTTATATTTTACCATAGATATCAATTGCGTAAGATGGTTTTTTTTGCTATGAAATATCCAGTTTGGTTGGAGTGACTACGTTTGTTTAGGCTTGACTCACTTGAAATTAAAATGTTTCATAGGAAAAGGCCCAAGTTCAAGTGACTAGGAAGTTTGGTGACGTCATATAATCGGTATGAATATGCTGGGTTTTTTCGGAAAATTTTTGCAATCGATGACGGTGAAATGCCAAATATGATTATAAGTGTCTAGCGCATGTTTGTCTTGTGCATTTAAATCTTGTGGTAAAATAACCGACTTTTGTTTAAATAAATGAACTTGGAAATCGAATGCTCAGGAATGTATTACAGTGCGTGCGCTTATACGTCTCGCAACGTTTGGGCTCGTGTTCAGCTTGGTGTGTTCGTTTAATCAGCGATTTGAGTGATTCATCTTGATTGCCGGTTAAAATGTATTTCAAATTGAAACGCAATTCATTAAACTTCGAGATCATTTTTCATCACGTCATACTTGATACAATTCACTCATTAATTTAATTTAAACGGATTCTATTTTATTAATCAACATTTAATGATAGTTTCGTGTTGTCCACAAGCAATATGTTTTTCCTAAGAACGAAAAAACAAAACATACTCATACGTTTGAAATGTTGTGAGAAGGTTTTAATTGAGATAATCAATGGAAAAAAATGATCGTTGTTTAATTCACGACATCTCGATCACCAATTACGCATCACAATTTTTCAAAAAATCAAATTTATCGATAAATGGAATCTGGAGACAGGAGGAAGCAAGAGAAATTAATAAATTCCAAAAATGTTTTTTTATATTCTTTGGTACATTGATCCATTGATTGAAAAGTGTACAGCGATGATGATTATCGTGTGGTGTGAGAGTGAGTTTCGAAAGTAAGTATACATGGACGACTTGATAAATACCGTTTTCAAACGATATAAATGGCATGGAAATGACGAAATGCGAAAGAATGAGATAAAATAGCATACTTATGAAACAGAAATGTTTCAGCGAGGAAGAAGTGCAACAAGATAAAAAAATAAATATAAAAAAAACAAGAACAACAACACACAAAACCTGAATGAAATTGACACAAAACTGAGAAAAATTTCACTTGACCACTGAACGATGCCATACATTTAATATAACTGTCTGCATATGCCAATGCAATTTACACTGGCGAGAGTGTATCAGAAGCAACAACAACAATTGCAGTGACTACAGTGAATGTGCGTACAATTTAATGGTATATTTATAAAATCGTGCGGCCATCAAAGCGTTTAATCGACTGCTTCAGCAAAGTGGAGCTGTTTTCTTCTTCATTCTCGCATTTCTCTTTGGTCAAATTGATTGAAACTACGAATTAACGTGATAACGATGATTTGCACGGAAACTAGACACCAACAACGAAAAAAAAACCTTCATAAAACACGCACCAAATACTGGAAATATTACTTTAAACCTTTTTGTTTTGTTTCACTGCAGAAATGATCAGTTCAATTAATTCACTGAAGTTATTGATTAAATCGAATCTTGGAAACTGAGATCACGATTACAAAAAAAAAAACAATGACCGTTCTTTTTTTTGAAATCAAAGAAAAGTAGCACACGAAATAATGGTTTATTCTATTTTTGATGTGTGATTTAAGAAAAGAAGGAAACCAAATTTACAGTGATGCTGTGAAATGAACGATGAACCGAAGTTTGCTATTTTAGATAGACGGAGATAGAAGTAGAGATGAAGAGCAAAAAGAGAAGCGATGCGCACGCCTTTTTCGCTTTGGCGTCCGCACCCAGATATCTCTTTTGTTGAAAACAGAACAAAAAATCTATAACTTCTCTCTCTCTCTCTCTCTCTATTTCTCTGTCTTCGTTTCACTTTACATGTATATATGTAATTCTTATAAAGCACAACGTAACGCGCGCGCGGTTCTTCTTTCGAATAGCAAGAAGTACAGAAAAATCAAAACAATACGTTTTCCGTTGCTTGTAGATTGGCGGCGATGTGTCCGCTTGTCCGCTTCAAGTATGTATACCACTTGAATAAATCAGCGCGTTCATCGGGTTGCTTGTCTATGAGTGTATTTTGTCTTTTGTTTTTCTTATTTTTTTCTGTCTTTTTCAAAATCAATTTCACCTCTTTTCCCAATATTGATCATTCAAATTTGTTTTCTACTCCAAATCAAACTCCTCTTCTTTGCTGCACTGTGTTTTTTTGAGACTTCTTAAAATGTTACACGAAATTTCTAATTTAAATAAATTTTGATTATTTTTTTCAAATTTTACTTATTTAATGAGTATTACATGTATTGCACACGATATTCCAATTTGAGATGTCCAAGTGTAAATGGTTAGTAAGAGGCGATATATACACGGCAGCACAAAACAACTAACAAAACACACAAGTAATGTGTACAACTACCTCTAAATACCAATCAAGACTAAAGCCGTTGCTTCAGTTTTGAATACAAACAGCCGAGAAAAAGTGGAAGAAGAGGAAAAAATAAAAAGTAATAAAGAGAAGAGATTTTTTTTTCATTGAAATAAGAAAATAACACACAAACAACAACAGCAACGCAACAGCATTCACTTTAGAGACTCTCTCAACGAAACACGTTCAAACCTACTCAAGCACACAACATATATGCATGCTTGAGAATGAATGTGGCACTCACCGTGTACACTGTACAATGAATTAACCAAACTGAATGAGTTTTTCATGAAAGTGCTTAAGTTTAACAGCGATACAACATTTCGGAGATAATAATATGGTCAGTGCGAAATGGATCGAGTAAAAAAGTGTATGAGTGACTACGATATTAGTGTGTGGGGCCAAAAATGTGGTTTTTAACCATAGGAAAATTCAATCAATTTTATTTACAATTCCGATGTTAAAACGATCGTTAAAGTCCATGTGCCCAAACACCAAGCAACAACAAACCATGATAAGAGGCATCGTTTACTGTTCGGCTTACAAGAAGAAACTCCCTCAATTCATACATGGGCAAGGGGGGGGGGGGGAACTTTTCATATTTCTGGTTTGATTTTTTTGTAGCACGAAATTCCAA